GAGCTAAATAACAATAAATTGTTTTAACACTCAGAAATTGAGCTAAATAATGAAAAATATGTTAGTAATTTCTTTAACATTTCATTTTTCACTTGGTGCCCCTTAAAAAAGCTGTTTGTTTTTCTGCATAACATAAACATGCTGAAGCATCATAACACTTATAATGAGAACAGATGTTTTAAARTATTTTAAAGTGCTAAAAATATTTGAGCACTTTTCCGTGTTAAAAAAACTTTATTTTTTGTTCTGAAAGATCCTTCTTTTAAACTCAGGTTTAAAAATCAAGTACCAAAGTAATACCAAATCTGTTAAAGTTGGTTTAGAAATAAGGAATTTGGGACATTTTAATGAAATTTTCTCCCTGCTTCAGGGACGTCACTTGAGAGTTCACAGATTTCTGTAATTGTTGCTCAAAATATAGAAAACAGTTTAAATTAAAAACAATTTTTACCTTTTAATGGATACTACATCTGTGGTGTGACTTTTGATTGCTGTAATCTCAGAAAAATGTGCAAACTCAAAAAATACATAATGATTTGATTACAACAACAACAACAATAATAAAATCAGCTGTCTCAAATTTGAGGATTGTCACATACCTACAATCTGAAAATATTTGGACAAAACCAAAATACTTCCTGGAACAAGTTAAACAGGAACCTGTTGGGATTTGTTTTGATTTTACTTAATATTGTGCGTTAACATTATACGACACAGTTGTTCTTCACTAATAAAAAATACATTTTCTAAGCTTTGCAACATTTGAGACACTAAGTATTTCTATAAAGTTTGTTTAAAACAACGATGTAAAGGGGCCCCATATGTGCTTTGCCCTGGACCCCAAACTGTCTACCTCCTCCCCTGCTAATCAACAGCTCCTCCCACTACCTGAAACCTTAAAAGCAAAATAAACACGTTTTATTACAACAGGTTAGAGCTCATTTTTAAAAGCAGACAGTTTTAATCACCAGACCAACCTCTTTTAACAGCTTTTCTTTTTTTTTAACGTCAAATTTCAAGGTAAATATCAGATTTACTTCGCATTTTATGGCGCAGTGCGGGATTTTTACCTGCGTTTGAAAGTTTTCCTAACAGGCGTTGTTCTTTTCCGTCTTATTGCAGAAGAGGAGTCAGAGCGACCTGAGCCTGTCCATGAAACGTCCTGTTCTCCTGCAGACATCACTGTGAGCGGCAAGAAAAACAAGACAAACTCTCAAAACGGAAGAAAGTCGCAACTTCCCGGATGACCAAACGTCTTCCTCCTCATCTCCTTCCTTTTACGGATTTTAGTTTTAGTTGCTTTTTTCGTCCTGCGAGCTGTGCGGTTTCATTGAGCAACACCATGTTCCCTCTCTGCCTCTCGGAGCACCATGCATGCATGCATAAATAATTAAATAATTAAATAAATAAAAGATTTGGAATCTTTCAATGATATGAGGTCATTTTAAGGCAGAAGTCTGTCTGGCAAATTAAATATATTTATTTTTACGTCATTTTGTGTTGTGCAAAGAAATCTTGTAATGAAGCGTAACTTCAGACACATCCCACCTGCTCCATCCAAATCACTGCAGCTCTTCTTGTTGGTTTTATATTGGCGGCTGGCAGCAAACTATACCGTAAAATAGCATTACTGGTTAGGGTTGGGCCACATTGGCAAAAGAAAATAATCACGATTAATTGTGGTATTTAGTCGATGACGATTAATTTGACGATTAATCCCCTGGAGTCCCTGGACACCTTTATGTCRTYGTCACATGACCAATTTAGTGGGAAAGATTTGCTCTTCATACAAATCTGTTCCAAATTTTGTGAAAATTACAGACTTCAGGCTATATATCAAATTTTACATTGTGTTGATAGATAAATAAATTACAGAACTTTATTTATGTTCGTCATATTTGAAGCAGAGAGGAGCAGCAGGTGGACTGACCGGTCCAGTCAGTCTGCCTGCTGGCATTAATCGTATTAATCATCAAGAGCCAAAAACTAATCGATTAATGTTTTTCTGACGATTAATCGCACACGATTTGATTATGCCCAACCCTGTTACTGGTATGGAATATGGTTCATGATGGTCCATCTATTTATCTATATCTGTACATAGGCCTACATATATTCTACCACAAAGCAAAACAAAAGCAAAAATAAATAATAATAATAATAATAATAATAATAATAATAAAAATTCTACCTAAACATACACATTTAAATAGACATACATAATTGTGCACAACATTGTATATTATCC